TCAGCAAAAAAACATAAAGCCCACTTATTGGAAGCCCAGGCGCCTAGTTGAACAAAAATGAGAAAAATGCTAAAAAATAATGGCAAAAGGTAACGTTGGGTATTGAACCCATGACATTCCATAAACACGCGCGCTACCTTTACCACTGGGTATTGAACCCATGACATTCCATAAACACGCGCTACCTTTACCACCGAGGTGGCTGTACATCTGTTAATACAAATGAAACAATAAATACATAAGGTAAAACGTCTCCATGACCTGTACTTCGTCTTCAACCTTCATCTAGCCAGACCATCTGTATCTCATTCATTTCTCAACAAAAATGGAAAATGCAAACATGAAAATTGTGCTATTTTTTCTCACGAATCTAACCATATAACTTATGTAAGCTAAAAGTCAAAGATGACGATTAATTTTGCTGGTCCTAAATTGAAACCTAATATTTTCAAAAGGTTGATAAAACTCTTTCCATGAAGAAATTCGAGCATCACATTTTACAAGTTCAAATTTATGTTGATGCCACTACTTTGGGTGCTACTAATGAATCCTTGTGTACAGATTTTTTTGAAATGATGTATAATGAATTTAAGATGTCTATGATGGGGGTCTTTATTATTTCATGGGCTTACAAATCTATAAACCAAAATAATGCCCATTTATTAATCAATCCAAGTACTATAAAAAGCTACTTAAAAGATTCAGCATGGATAAAACCAAGTTAATCTAAACTATAACGATCACTTCTTATAGCTTGATCAAAGCGCGAGGCACGAAAACCAAATGAAGAAATCAAGTATCGAGGTATGATCAACTCTAATCTTTATCTTACTGCACCTAGTCCTGATATCATGCATGTGGTGTGTCTTTGTGACCGCTTTCAAGTAAACCCCGATAAATCAATATCACTATGGTAAAACACAAAATGAGATATCTCACTAGCACACCACAAGTGGGTTTATGGTATCCTAAAGGAACGAATTATTTCTCAGTTAGGTACTCTGACTATGATCTTTTTTGTTGAGTGAAAATGATATTAGAAAAGTACGATTGGTACGTGTCACTTACTTAGTAACACGATCGTCTCTTGACACAACAAGAGACAAACGGGTGTATCTCTATCCACAATTGAGGCATAGATATTATGCATAAATTATCTGGATGAAATATCAATTAAGTGATTACATAGTCAATCATAGAGTTTTCCCGATAAAATGTGACAACACTAGCGTCATAAACCTCACAAAAATAAGGCATTTCACTCTCAAAAAAACACATTGAGGTTAGGAACCATTTCATTAGGGATCATGTTGAAAAAAAGATTGTGTAATTGAGCACGTGTCTTCTTCTTACTAAATTAGGAAAATTATATCAATCATGCATGAATTGAAATCTGCTAGATGCTTTTTCTCCTTCTTTTTATTCTATTTCTTCATGTATTTTACATGATTATGCGCTTGCTTTTCCCCCTCCTTTTTGATTATGCCAAAGGGGGAGAAGTATATTGTCAAATGGAACAAAGTATAATCTCTATATTTGTAAGAGGAGTTTAACCATTATAATATTTTACCTACGCCCTTTTGTTTTTACCACATCTCTAAGATATTCCTTGTCATCATAAAAAAAAGGGGAAGTGTGGATCTATGTGCTTATAGGTAAAAATACAATCAATAATTAGATGACCTTGGTGGTTTTGATGATGACAATACCTAGTGTTAAATGGAGTTTAATGAAGTCCCTGATAATATTTGGTCCAACAACCTCTAATGATGGCATTTGTCAAATAAGTTATATTAAGCCTCATTATTGAGAAAATGTAAATCCTATATGAAGTGATAAATCAATGATGAATCAAGCAAATGATCTTAAAGCTTAAAGGATAAGAAAGAGAGAAAGTGTGAAAGCTCACTCGGTCCTGGGTCTGAGTGATTAGTTAAATATAAATATATAAGAGTAACTTTCAATATACTAAGGAAGCTCACACACATCCCCAAAACTGTTTTGAAGTCTCCTTTTTTATAAAACACCTGAAAATGTTTTTATGCACATATCTAAGTGATTATTGGCCTGCTGAAACAATTAGGAATGATTTTTACACTAGTTAATCGATTAACACATCAGAGTTAATCCATTAAATCATTTGTAATACCTCTCAACCATTTAAGGATGCTTCTAATTTATTAGTGGAAGTGGTTTTGATTTTTTCTCTTCATATTTAGCTTATCTAATCGATTAACGATTAGGGTTAATCATTAGATCATTAAAAAAGCCCATGAATCTTTTCCTTTTTGATAGGTTTATTTTCCTATAAATAGAAGGATTCTCCTCATTCTTATTTTACAGTAGATTTCAAAATTGAAACTACACTATGCTATATTCTACTTCATTCTTCACTAAAGTCGCCTTAGTGGCAAAAATGTGAAAAACTTATGAGAGTTTAATTGTATTGGTGGGATACTGTATTTGTTCTTATTCAATGGTAAAATTTTCTTGCAAAATATTCTTTTTTTGGTTCTTGAGATTGACTTGCTAAAATCTCTGTTCGGTTCTTAAAACTAGTCGATTAAAATCTCTATTTGGTTTGTGAGCTCAGCCTATTAAAAACTTCATTTGGTTTGGCGATCAACCTATGTAAAATCTCTCATTATTGTAAAAGTTTTATGGACACATCCTTAAAATCTCAAGATTCATTATTAGTCCAACTCTGAAGAGGAAACTCTTAGGAATAAAAGTAGACCAAATGGTAGGCCAAACTTGTATAAGTCTGTGATGCATTTTCTAAATCTATCTCTTTAGTTTTTGTCATTTACTTTTCTTCTTATGCTTCACTGCTTTATCTCTATTAAACATACATAAACCATTTTAAAAAAATAAATTTTTAAAATAATATTGATCTTTAAATAACACAACCACCCCCTTCTCGTGTTTATATCACTTGTTCAACAAATAATACAAATATCAAAATAGATCATTTATCAAAAGCTTGAGATCATCTAAATACTCATAAAAAAGAAGCTATATGAATACCAAATTTCTCATTATTTTATTTATCACACAAAATAACACAATACAACATCGAATCCTACCCATGTATGAAATTAAAAAATAAATTAAAATATTATCATAAGCAACATCAAATTGCCCATAAATTTTAATGATTTAATTCTTTCACTTTATATTTAACTATTATTTTGATTTGCATTAATGTCCTTATGATTTCTTTCTTTAAACAAGTCAACAATATTAACATTTCAAACATATATTTATTATTTTTATTTATTTCTTAAAATGAAAAGGTATTGTGACATATGGAAAGAGAAAATCATCAAAGAATTATGAGATGCGCCTCCATGATACACTAGAGTGTAAAAAGTGAATTGTTTGTTTAGGGAAAAACACTAAAACGAAACATAAATAATCGATTGTTGTTGAGTATGGATGTTAATAGGCAGGGTATGAGTAGGGCACTATAGTATCCATCCCCATACACGCAGATGGAAAAAATCCGCATACCCAAGCCCATATCCGTTTGGGTAACAATTTTAGCACTCGTACCCGTGCCCTCTGGATATGTAAGTACCCATACCTAGAGTTGTCAAAATGGGCCGAAGCCCATGGGTCGGCCCATCGGGCCTAAAAAAGTTAAGGCATGAGCCTCATTTTTTGAGCCCACTTACTTCTAGGTCTTTTTTAGTCAGACTCGAAAAAATCCTGAAAAATATGGGTCAGCTTGTATGGGCTATGGGTAGCCTATCGATCCGAAAAAAATTAAATTTTTTAATATAAATTAGAAATTATCCTTTCCTAATTCATAAAAAAAATTAAACAAAAGAAAAAAATTAAAATTGATTATGTATGAAATTTTAGATATAGTGTTAGTGAAGAAAGGTATAAGCAATTTGCATAAACAGTTTATACTTTATTTTTTAAGTCTATGTAGTATAAATGGTCAATTAGTATAAATGGACAATTTCGTGTCCAAAGTGATGAAGTTTTAAATATATTATAAACAATTTACGTATTTTAATTTTTTTTGGTATTATAAATGTATAAATATCAAACAAAAATTGATGATTTGACTTATTTTCAAACTAAAATGTTTCATCCTAATATAATTATGTAGATAGTATAGAAAAAATACCATGATGTATTCTAATTAAAAATAAGGTTGAAATTAGGTTTAAAAATCTCTAATATAATTTTTATGGGAGGATAGAGTTAGTAGAAATTGGATGTATAACAATTTGTTATAAAATTATATCCCATCAATCTAATTATAATGGTTATAAAATTATAATTATTGTAAAATTTTATAATAATTTGTTGTTATAATTGTTATAGAATTGTAATTGTCATGAATATTTATAACTTAAAATTTGTCGGAATACGTTATTTAATTTTGTGCGTTACATTGGATCATTTGTAATGTATTTTAGATAATTTGAATTAAGTTCATGTATTATTTTACATTTTAATTGTTAACTTATATGGATTATTTAGAACAAATATGGTCACACTATAAATCTTTGGAGAACTCGAATCACATAAAGTCACACTAATGTAATAGTTTAATATAAAAACTCAGAAGAAACTTCAAAACCCTAAAAAATTCAAAATAAAGAAAGACGAGCAACAATCTCATTCAAAATTTGCCCATATTTTCACAAACTCAAAAATATTTAATTCACAACGATTTTGATATCAATAGATTAAGGCTTTCAAAAAATTTAAAAGTGTGATTTGACCAAATTGACTCTTTTCTTCTTTACCAATTCTCTTTTATAGATTTTATGAATCATCAATTAGTTATTCTCATTCAAAGTCATGCCATAAAGATCGACAGAAATAAAAACATAAATATAGATTTAATTACTATTTCAAAAAAACTTATTTAGAGTAACTTTTTTAAATACTCTATACTTTTACGATATATTTGGATAATGTAAAACAAACAAAACAAATAAAATGAAACAGAATACAATGAAGTGAAATGGATTTGAGTAGAATGAATATGCGATTCTATTGTTTAGATATTTCTTGATCGAATATAACAATTTTTTTATTTCGCTCAAACTAAAAAATACAAAATCTCGAATGACAAACAAATAACGGTGTGGTAAGAAGAGCCAACAAGATTGTACATATATATACTTAACGAGGCCCAGTCCAATCCAATAATCCATTTCATATGTAACCCGAAAAACGCAGTAGTTTTCAGCTTCACCATCTCCGAGCATGGCTTGATAAACGTAAACACACACGCAATCGGAAAATTTCCCATCCAACGTTTCATCCTTCATTCTCATTCTCAATCTCAATCATCACAATATTCATCATCCTCTCACAATCTCAGGTACAGTTTCTTGAATTTATCATTTCTCAATTTCTGAATCAAACCAAGGTATCGTAAATTAGGTTTAGCAATAGCTACCCGAACAGATCGCGGCACCAAAATGAAAGGGCGGTCAAATCGCCCTCAGAATATGGACCCTCCGCCGGACGAATGGGTCGACGGTTCATGGACAGTGGACTGCATCTGCGGCGTCACCTTTGACGACGGCGAAGAGATGGTGAAGTGCGACGAGTGCGATGTGTGGGTTCACACGCGCTGTTCTCGTTACGTCAAAGGTGATGACATGTTCGCCTGTGACAAGTGTAAGGCCAAAAACAACCGTGCCGGAGATGACAACAACACTGAGGAAACTGAGGTTGCTCAATTGTTGATCGATCTTCCCACTAAGACGATCTCTCTTGAGAGAAGGAATAATAATAATAACAGAAGCAGTTCTATTTCTTCCAGAGTTGCGTCGTGTTCACGCCGTCCTTTTAGGCTTTGGACTGATATACCTATGGAGGAGAGGGTTCATGTTCAGGGTATTCCTGGTGGTGATCCTTCTCTTTTTGCTGGTAAGGCAGTGTCTTCGATTTTCGGTCCGCAGCTGTGGAAATGCACAGGTTATGTTCCTAAGAAGTTTAATTTTCAGTATAGGGAGTTTCCTTCTTGGTATGAGAATGATTCGGATAAGGGCGCACAAGAAAATGATACTGAAATTAAGGATAAGGATAATGGGGCTGGAGTTCTTTTATCATTTTCTAAAGAGACTAATAACGTGTTAGCCACATCCCCTGTCGCGGCTTTGGTGGATATGAAATCAAGCCAAGGTAAGAAGGGTTTCAAGGAAAATGGAACGGGAAAGGTTGGCAAGGATCATATGCCACGCGCGGTCCACAATGCGGACAAGAAGGAGAGGACTTTGCTTAGTCCTTCTGTTGTTCATTCAAGTAAGCGGAGGAAGGACGAATTCTCCAAGGACCGGAATGGGAAGAAGAAGCGGGTCAAGACTTCTGAGAGAGAAGATAGGAGGACTTCTGACAGAGAGGATGTAGATCCTAAAAGGAGGACTTCTGATAGAGAGGAGGATGTAGATCCCAAGCAGAGGACTTCTGACAGAGAGGAGGATGTAGATCCCAAGCGGAGGACTTCACATTCTTCTAAAGCAGGTTATTTGATTTACTTTTGTTTTCCCTTTTTCGCACTTTTATTATTTACCTGCTGTTCTTAATTTTGAGAATTGCTGAAATTTCAATATTGCCCTAGATAATAGAGATAGGTAAGCTTTTCCGGAAACACTTGTAGGAAAAGAAACTTTAAGATAATTGCACAATAATTATCGGATTTTAGATAACAGTTGTCTGTATAAGTTGAAATTAACTTTTGCAATTCAATTTTTCAGAAACTGTCATTTATTTTCTCCATAAAAATCTATAAACTCATGATAACTTCGCGCCGTTAGCAGCCACGTTTTGCTTGAGAAGCTAGTAGAAGTAATCCAAATTAGGCATAGCGTGCTATTGTACTAAGCTAATGAAAACGACAAAATTACCAAATGTAGTTGGTTAAATCAATATGTCAATTGCTATGTAGTACGAATAATGTAATTATCTTTTTTGATGTTTACATATACTGTAATTATCTTTCTTGACGCTTCCTCTTGTTACAATTATTATTAGTTACTATAAAAAAGTTATTTGATTTTGTTTCTTTGTGCCTGTGGGAGAACGTCATCAACTATGACGGTATATCTCATCTTGCCATTCTTGACACGCGCATGTTGACTTTCGTATTTTTCCTCTTTATTTTTGATAACTAGCGTTTACATCAACCAGTGATGCAAAACAATTGGCATTCTATGGAGGCAGAGGTCCGAAGGTTTTCAAAGATGACATTCGAATCATAAAGAATAGAAACTTAAAAGATTCGGTGGCTCGAGATCATATCTCAAATGATTCTTTTGCCGGGGGTATCATCATGGAGGCATCAAATAACAACAACTTGACAACTACTGAGGAGTCTTCAGAAGCCTTATATCCTAACAAAACAAGACAAAGTCATTCTGCTGGAGATGTATTAGTAGAAGGGAAGACTAGCCATAAAGTTCTTGAGATGTCTTCTAAGACTGATGATGCCGTTACATCAGTTCTAAAGCAAACTAATCTTGAAAATGCCTCAGCTAAAAAGAAGGTATGTTTTACTGACATTTCTGGAATAAAACTTATTGATATTTGTAAAATTAATCCTATATTTTGTCTATGCATCTGTCAATTAGTAATATGATGCCTGCACTTATTGCCTTATTCTCCATTTAATAACATAACATCAATATTAGCTGTATGCGCTCTCTTGTATCATTCCAACTGTCTGACCAATTCCATCTTGAATGATAATTGACTGTAAAGAAAATTACTATCTAGAACTAAGATCCTAAGACTGCACATGATAACGGATGCTCAGTATCTAATGATAAATTGATAATCAACTTAAGGGCCATCTTTTATGATAGTAGTGGGAGTTAGGCTAAGCCTGTGGTTGATGCAGTATGCATTTTATAAATTTCCTCTTTTATCTCGATGCCCTTTTCTTCAACCTTAGTTTAAATACTTGTGGCTAGGATTTTAAGAACAGACCCTAGAGATGAATGGCGTGCTTATATCTAGATCTAATGTTTGATACGAAAATTCAAGTTTTTAAAATACAACAATACATTGCTTTTTGGTGTTGTTCAATATTAGTTAAGACTTAAATTGCGAGAAAGATATGTTAAAAAGCTTTGTAAATGAATTTGAAATTAAAATTTTAAACGATGTTTATCGAATAATATGCTATAATGACAAGCCTTTATTTTCTTCCTGGTCCCCGAAAAATAGGATCTTTCATCAACGCAACTTTTTTTAAAACTTGGAGCTCGTAGTCATACCTAAATATGTGATACTTTAAATTTCAGCGTGGGAGCTCTCAGGTTGTTTGCTAGGTGTTTTGCATATTTTTACTAGGTTTATCTTGCATAGCTTTACGGATGTTTTGTCTTGTCTTGTATGTATGACTTTAGACTTCGTCTCACACTATATTGTGATGACATTTCTTGCTTCTACAAACAAGGGCGGAGATTGCTTGGAGGCTAATAATGTAGATGGTACTTTTGTAAGAAGCCCTGCGAGTCCTCAGACAGAAGATCATTGTGGCTCTGCACCAGAACGTATAGGGAAGCAAGTTTCTCAAGATATTGACTGCAACCAGAATCCAAGCTCCGGGCAATGCAAAGTTAAGGTGAAGAGAGAAGAAGATGAGGATGATAAGTTTAAGCTTTCAAATTTTCATTCTTCTCCTATCAGCGGTCTTAAAAACAATGGAAAGCCATCCGATCCCACACCTGTTATTGATAAAGTCAATGATGCTGCAGTTCTCAGTTTACCTTTATGTGAAGCTAAGGTAGGCAATGTTAGCATATCATCAGAAGTACTCCCAGATAATCCTACCAACGAACTCAATGAATTGCCTGGTGATTTTTGTCGTGGAAAAGAAGAAGTGGAGGGGTCTGAAGGTTCATTGGAAACACAAAAGGGATTTTCAAAAACAAAAGATGGTCTAGGCATTTCTAAGAATCCTTCTAAATCTGAAGCACTTGAATGTCCAAGTAAAATGCTAGCTTCTGGCAGAAAGTCGTCTCCAACTTCATCCACCATGAACTCCAAATCATTGATTCATGACTTCAAATCTGAAGATACTGAAATCGCCAATCCTTTTACGAAGCATGGAGCTAAATCTGATCGTAACAATTACATGAAGAGTGAAAGTTGTATGAATGATGCTGCAATGGATGAAATTCCAAGGAAGTCTGTAAGAGAGCGTCCAAAATCTTCTTTGAATTATAATTCAAAAGGACTGCATTCAAGCCGGATTATGCAAAATTCCGTTTCAAAGCAAGTAAATCCAGATGCGAAAGATTCTGTTCACTGTTCATCAACGAAACCATCCCTGGGTCACCAGACTCCAAGTGTTTTTGGCTCTAGTGAGACTAATGCATCAATACACCATCAAAAAGGACCGAAAGTAGAAAAGCTTAATCAAACAAATACCCATCCTTCCTCGAAGTTGAACCAGAACAACACACCATCATTGAATCCTTCTCCAACATTAAATTCTTCAATGCTGAGTGATGAAGAGGTTTGGGCTGGACTTCTAGTTTTTTTTTTTAATTAAGTTCCAAAAATGTTTCTCCTATAGAATATCTTTTATTTCCTGTTCTCTTAATTTATCTTTGTATATATTTATTGGCAGCTAGCTTTGCTATTGCATCAAGAATTGAATAGTTCCCCTCGTGTACCCCGGATACCCCGTGCACGCCAAACAGGTAGCTTGCCACAGCTGACTTCTACCAGTGCTACAAACATGCTAATGAAGCGAGCATCAGTTGGAGGAAAGGATAACTATTTGGTAAGATTTTGTGCCAACAATTGAAAATTATTATTGCGAGTTTTTACACTAATGATGGTCAATTTATCTCCACAATGGTGGCTTATTATTACTTGGTAATTAATTTGCACAGGTATGTAAAAGAAAATACAAGGATGCAACTAGAGATGGGGTTTGCAGTTCTCGTGAACCAGAAGATGAAACTAAAAGGATAGAAAAGGAGAAGGTTCAATCATCATCTGATCAAAGAAAACCAGACATGGCGTATGTGGAAGATACTTCTGTAAAGGAAGAAGGAAGCCGTGCATGCGTGACAGCTGCAAACTCTATTACAGGCGATGTTGTTTCCGCAGCCCCTGCCATTGAAAACAACAGTCCACCTTCCCCTCGCGAGGATTGTAATTTGTCATCAAAGAGGAACTCACCCAGGAATATATCTGATGATGATATAGCAATAGCTGGAAGGCCTGTTCATCACACCTTACCTGGTAACTTCCTTTCAGAGAGATTCTTGCCGTGTTTGTTTTTAATTTTAAACCATTCTATATTCCCATGTTAAGTAGATACATAAGATTGACCCGCTGTTGGTTAATATAAAAACAACTTAACAAATATTTATTTAATCTCATGGCTTTTAAAATTCATGCAATAATCGTAATCTTCAGCTTTAGTTTCAAGCACCTTGAGTGCTACATAGATTTTGTAGCACAAAATTACTTTTATATTGTTAATAGGTTGTGCCATATGTGCTTTTAGATTTGGGCACAATCAGCTCTTGTAATTTGGCAATTTGTAGGTAGACAAAAACCGAATATCCGAGTGTTATTATGACTTTTATCTTACAAAATTAAAAGAAAAATAACCTGTGCTTATATACTGGGAACTTTGTGGATAGTTTCTTATTATAGACGCATGTATTCAAATGCAGGCTTAATCAATGATATAATGAGCAAGGGCAGGCGCATGACATATGAGGAACTCTGTGGTGCTGTGCTACCAGTATGGTTCTTTATCAGTGTTGTTTTAGGGGTTCCTACTATTGTTTTTTATATTTTATTTCACAGGTTGAAATAAGTTGTCTATGGTCATGTTTGTTCCTTTTTAATTGTCACAGCACTGGCCCAACTTGAGGAAACATAACGGAGAGCGATATGCATATGCAAGTCATTCCCAAGCTGTTCTTGATTGTTTGAGGAACCGGCATGAATGGGCAAGGCTGGTTGATCGTGGCCCAAAGGTATGTAGATGCAATTTGATAATCACATTTAACTGTCTATGGTTTATTGAATCATAATTAAGATTTCATTTTCAATTAACCCACCAACTCAAGGATAATTGAATTTTTTTGCTGACTGACCAAAATATTCCTACAAGTTTGCTCCAAAATCATGTTGTTTTCTTCCGATTGCCACAAAGCATTTGGCTTTAGCCAGGAATTGCTTTGTTGGTTATATTCATTCAACCTTTTTCTTCATTTGTGTCCCATTTGTTGTCTATCTTCAGATAGACATGAATTTTGACTATATACAAAATGGCCAGTGGGGACTAGCGAATACGCAAAGCTTAAACTGTATTTTTGTCTGTCGTGTGTAACCTGCTTGTATGGTTCTGAGACCAACCTATTTGAAGATCTCCTTTTATATTTTAAATGAATTAAACTCATTGTAGACAATACAGAATTTGTATGTATAAATTGATACAGAAAAGTGAAATACATATTCCTCCCTTATGAATAGACAGGAAGTAAAGCAGAGATTATCTGGACCCCTATGAAAATAGGAAATTACAGTTATCTTGTCAATATTTACCCTTAAGATTTGTGGTCGGGTCTAACTCAACCTTACAAAACCCGCTTTAAGGTGAGGATTGCCCCCCACTTATAAACATATGTCCATGCCTTATATTGTCCAATGTGAGACTCTTAGCACCCCCTCACGCCCAACACTATTGAACTTAGTGTCTGAATGAATATACATGGCATGTGGTCAGATAGCAAAACCGGACAATAGATGGCCCAACAAATCTTGAACTAGGCTCTAATACCATCATAAAATTTGAGTTGAGCCTAACTCGACCTTACAAAATCAACTTGTGGGTGAGGATTGTCCAAAAAATTTATAAACACTGCCATATCTCTAGAACAATCTAAGACTAAATCAACCCCTTCACACCCAACACAATGATGGTGTTGGAGGTTGCAATGAATGCAACCCAAGTGCTGCAATTAGGTGCTAGGAGCGGAACACAATGAAAGCGGAATTTCCAACACTTACAAATATTTACTAATCGAGGACTAATCGAGTTGTAGAATCATTTTCTTTTACATGTAAGTTAATACGGCCTCTAATAGATCCATTATGGCTCCAACCCTTCCAGAGACCTTGCATGGGGAAAGCTCTGTATCACTAAATTGCATTTTTACTACTTGCTAATATCTACATCTACCTTTCTTTGCAACCCTATTATCTATAATTGGAATTTGAACTTCTTTTGACTCTTGGAGCCGATACCTTATGTAGTCTAGGTAGCCTTAAAGTTCCTCAGGACCCATAGACTGACCAGGTGTTTGGTCTATTAATTGTTATCTGCAAAAATAATTGTGGGGGAATACAAAAAGTTCAAATACAGAGGAAGAGATGATGTCTGCGGGCTTCAGGAGTGAAAATCATTATGCGTTGTAACAATACTCTCTAGCGTAATTTCTTTGTTTGTAATATGATTAAGTAGAATCTCTTTCTTTTTTTCATTTGGTCATTCCTCTGTAGTGTGTCATGCTTTATATTTGTCTACTTTCTGTTAAATTTTTATATTTGTTTCAGACAACTACTACTAGGAAAAGGCGTAGTAAGCTGGATGCTGAAGAATCTGATGATAATGGATATGACAAGGGAAAAACTGCAAAAGATGCCGAAGGGAAGAACTTGGAATTGCAAAAAGAAGAGTTTCCTAAAGGTAAACGCAAAGCTCGAAAACGCAGGCGGCTGGCTCTTCAGGGAAAAGTAGTTAAGGATGTCAGAAGGAAACAAAAAACTGACTCACTTACCGGCGAAGACGTAGGCCCATTATCCAATACTAGTGAAGAGAGCCTGTTTAGTGAGGATGGAATTCAAGTTGACAGAACATGTCCAGCAGGAAGTACATCAGATGAGGCTGGAAGTGCTTAATTTCAGGTGGATAAATATTTAATTGGGTTTATTCTTGCAGTAATATGCACTTGGCTTGAAATCCAACAAAGTTTTCTGTCTGTGAGCTTGTCTAGCGGGGGAGATGCACTGTTGTACTATTTGTGATGTAGTGTTGTATTAGTAGTGTAAATAGTTCCAATAGTATACGTCAGTGTATCCTTTTCAAGCATGAAACAAACCGTGTAGATTTTGTAGAATCTGTAATGTAAGTGATTACAAGATTCAGTTAGGGATAAAAAAAGAATGTACAATTGGATTTGATTAGGAAATACCAATGTCGAAACATAAATACTTGTGAGCAGCTGTAGTAGCTTTAGCGAAGGATAAGTCAATGATTGGCAGCTGTTATTTATCATGATGAAAATGTAGTTCTTAACTTCTTGTTGTATACAGCAACATCTTAGCTTTTGGCATGTCACTTGATCAAGTGTTGTAATATTTATTGAAGCGCAATTTGGCTCGTAATGGCTAGTCTCTTGATCTGTTTGGAACACACCAGTGAAAAAGCCGTGAAAAGCTTTTGAAGTACTAAAAGTAGAACAAGACCAGCAAGGGATAAACTGCTCGGAAATTACAAGTCAGGGAAATTAATAAAACCATCCCAAATAACAACAAAATAAATGTTGGATCTGGCAATCCTTGGTGGAAACCTACAAAACATCCTATGCATCATCAGAGACTAGGACGGAGAAGTTCTGGCGGCGGCAGCCACATGGCGCTGGTTACATAATTCAAATGTTTTTTCGGGTCAACAGAACCCAAAGGGAGTGAGCTAGAGTTGAAATTGGCTACAGAGATGGTTTTATGATCATAGTCACGGGGACAATTTTATCAATGAATCTACTATCTATTTAAAATACATGAATGAATTCAATCTGCCAATTTAATTTAAAGGTCTATTAGATTACTTTAAATAATAGTATAAATCAATTGAATAAAACATTAATAATTTATTAAAAATTTTAATTTAATAAGTAAAAAAGATGAGAAATAAAAATAAATAAATATTAAAAACTAATTTAAAAATAATAACTAGAAAAAACCGAAAAATACAGAGAAAAGGAAGTAAGCTTTAGTATATGTTTGACTTCAATTCTAGCAAAGACTAAAAGCACTTCTAAAATGCATAATTGATTCTGCAATGATTTTAACATGTTTGATTATTATGTTAAAATAGAATTGTGCAATGATTTTAACATGTTTGGTTATGTTAAAATATAATTGATTTTGTCTTTAGAATTGATTCTATTTAAAGTTAAAATTTGTAACTTCTGCATGTAGAATTGACTCTGGATGAATTTTATACTAAAATTTATCATTTAACACTTTTACATAAATATATATAAATCATTTCTGTCAAACTCAATTATATTAAAATCAATTCTACCAAATTCAATTCTACGAAAATCAATTTTGTTTACCGTCAATCCAAAAATATGTTTAAAGAATTTTTTATTAATTTATTTATAAAAACTAATTTATAATTTAACAAATAAAAAAGTAAATTATTGACTAGACAAAAGGTATTTAAGAAGGAGTAATGATGAATTTGGATCCTACCTTTCAATTTTTTATTTTTCTTTAACTTTTTCTCTATCACTTTTATGATTTATTTTTCCTCACATGTTTTTCCCTTCAAAACAATCATAATTTATTTTTTTATCTTATTTATTTTTTTGACCTAAAGTCACTCAACCATTCTCTCTCAAAAGATAGAGGATATTTTATGCGAGATGATGGATTGAGATTAAGTAATTTTAGGGAGGAAAAACATGGTGTCTTTAGTATATATATTTTTGTTTTAAATGAGAAATAAATGAAATTAAACTATAGAAAGAAAGACACCAATCCCAACCCGATGATGATCTACGGGGTCAACGATGAGCACCAAGGCGTCACCTGCAATTATAGCTGCGCCGCCAGCTATACATACCATCCATCGCCCACTCCAAAACATCTTTCAGTTCAGTGTATAAAATTAATGATAATACATAAGTCGGATTGGATTGGATTCGGGTCCAAAAATCCAATCCGACCTAAATCGCGGGTCTATAATAAACATTCAATTTCGACCATTTAAATCTTCGGTTTCGTCGGTTTACAGTTTTTCGGATTGAACAGTTGTCGGTTCGGTTTAATCGGTAATCCATTTAAAAAGCTGCGATTAAAAATTAAAAACTAAATGTTCTTTAAAACATAAGCTACCAATGTTTTATTAGAGTTTTTAAAGATAGATCCGGGAAAACATTTGAGAATTATCGCAAAATTATTTTCACTGCTACAAAATTGTAAGGAGATTTGGAAAAAAATCTGGAAATTTTTACATTATCAGCTTTGCAAAGATTTGAAAAATGTTTTGTCAAATAAATTGGGTAAACAACAAATCAAACACAGTAAGTTTGAGGTGAGGTAAAGAAGAAAATATGTAAACTAAATATAGTGGCGGTGTTCTTTGAAATAGTGGATATTAAGTCAGCATCCATGGGTACAAAGAATCCCAGAATCATTATGTTCTATTTGAAATAGAGAAGAAGGATAAATGGTGGAGAAGATGAAATTACCAATGAAAGGTATTTGAAATAGAGAAGAAGGATAAACTGTGGAGAAGATGAAGTAAACAATGAAGGGTACCAGACGGCTAGAGTTTTTAATTTATATACGGTTAAGATATAGTACATGAAGGGTATGTTTAATGGGCTTTACAAAAAGTTCAAACCAGTCCATATATTATAGCGGTCGGATTCGGTTAATTTTGGGTTAGATTGTCTCAACCGAACCGAACCGATATAAACCATTAAAAACCGGTTTAAATCAACATGTTAATCCGACACTCATTTTAAAACCGACCGCATGTAAACGATTATGGTGGATCGGTTGGATATTCACGATTTTATCAAAAACTGTCCACCCCTAATTGCTATTCTCTCCAGTCTTATTCATAATTAAAAGTTTTCTAAATTTTTTGATTTTAAATATAAATAAATATTTATAAATCTAGATATTTGTATTACAAAATCATTTATCTATTAATTATTTAATATTATTAGTGGATAACAATTTAACTGAAAATATATTAATAATTACATTATTTTTTTAACATAAAATAAAAATAAATAAAAATATTTAATTATCTTTTTTAATAAATAAATTTTTTTTTTTATAAATCAGGTCGGAGTAGTATTTTTTATTGCTGCGTATCCTAAAAAAAAAAAAACTAGAAATTACTTTTATAAAAACGAATACCATATGTTTTAAAATATGAAAGTTTCGGTGAATAATTTTAAAATAATTACTTTTTTGGAGCTAGTCTAAGAGGAGGGTATGTGATATTTGAATTTTTTTGGCTTTGTAGTATATATTAGTTAAGGATATTTCGAAATACTAGATTTTCTTTTGCGGGGAGGAATGGTAGGAATAAAGGCAGTCTATAAAGTCAAAATTTAAATTTAATGTGATTAATTGACTCGAAAATGAGAATTTTGTTTGGAGGGAATTTTTTAATGCATTTTATGAATTACTAACATATCTCGTAAAAATATAATAATACTTTCAGATTTTAGAGATGTATCTCCGAACGAACCCGAACTCAATGTATTTTTGAATTAGGTTCTAAGTTAATGGAATTTTTTTTTTACCAAAATATATTCTGGACGCTATTTGTTCAAATTTGCGTCAAAACTCTTTTTCATTCATCACTTCTAAAAAAACAATTCTAAACCACTCAAGTTTTTCAAACTCTATCAACTCACGTTATCTCAAAATCATTCAACCAACTTGAATGCTTCTTCCATCAACATCAAGTCCATCAAAGAGTTCATTCAATACTGAAGTAAACTCACAATTTATAAGTTTTTGGTTTTTCTAAACTTTTTTGAGTTTTTTTTTATAAATCTGTAAAAATTGATATTTAAGTTATAAAATAGACAGTTTATACATGTTTAATAGTTTATACATAATAAAAACATGTTTTATAGGTATTTTTATTCTCAATGCCCAACTTTTTGCTATTTCAGACCCAGACCCGCATTCGCCACCCAGACCCTCCCCACCCCCAAGTCCGGTCGGGGTTAATATTTGTTCCCCCGCTCTCGCCCCCAACAAAAACGGGTTTCCCCGTACCCGCCCCACACCCGCCCGAATAAAATTTTAATTATTTTAAAATTTATACTTTTTTGCAATAAAAATAAAAATCAATAATAGAAATAAATAATTGATTATTTTAAAAGCATTTTTTATGTTTGATATTATTATTTAAATTGTATTTAAAAAAAATAATTCTAATAAATATGATATTATAACATTAAAAAGTGTAAATGAGTAATAAAAATATTAAAAATAAATTAAATAAATTAAACTTAGTTGGCGGGTGCGGGTACTAGCATCACCCTCCCCCACAGCTGCACCCGTAAATAAAAACCGGGTTTTCCCCGCACGCGCACCCAGCTAAATTGGGTTTTCCCTGCTAATTTCGGGGAGGGGGCGGACGGGGCCCGGCGGGGACAGGTTTATTTGCCATGCCTATCTATTACCTTTATGATCATTATCAAAATCATTACTTACTTCTCTTCTTTCCTTCTGACTAAAGCCATAGATCATGGAAGTCATCTTGCTTCTATCCAGACTTTAGTTAAAGAACTTTTGGAACTCATTTTCATATTCGTATAAGATTATTTCAGAAGATGGTGAAGCTTTAAAAAGAGTTTCTTCAAGTTTCAAACAGTTTTATCTAGAAAAGTGTTTTCATTTTCTAAAACAAAATTCTTTTGTTTTTGTTCAGAAACTTATTTTTCAAACATACCATATTCTTAAACAACATGTTCATGAACTTTTGTCAAGTTATTGAATTTATGTTTAAGTTCTTGGTACTTACTTAGAATGTCAGACAGGGCTACTTCTAAATCAGCACGAGGTATTTCAGAAAATACCTCTTAAGAATCTGACTCTGTCTCTGATGAACTTTTTTCTGAAATGATAGCTGTGAGTGCTATGTTGGCACGCTCTTCATCATAATCTGATCCCGATGCTTCTGAATCATCCCATGTTTCCACGAGGCCTTTCTTTTTGCCTTTGAAGTTGTTGTTCTTGGAACCTTCATTTCTGAAGTCTTCTTTCTTTAGTTTTGGACAATCTTATTTATAATATCCTGGTTTATTACATTCGTAGCATGTGACTTCTTTATTTCCCTTTGAGAAAGATTATGAACGATCTCTTGTGAATCTTCTAGAATTGTTTGGTCTTTTCTAAAGTTGTTTAACTCTTTTGGAAAGTAATGATAATTCATCATCGTCATCAGAGTCTTCATTTTAAGAGTCTTCTTCCTTTTCACATTTTAGAGCTTTGAGTCTTCCTGAATTGACCTCTTTTTCTGATTTTAACCTTAGAGCAATAAACGTAACCTTTTTCCGAGGTTTATCTTCCTCTAACTCTATTTCGTGACTTATTAGAGAATTGATAAACTCTTCAAGGCTGATTTTGTTCAGGTCCTTGACAGTTTCAAAGT